TCAGTCAATCAATCAATCAATCAATCAGTCAATAAATCAGTCAATCAATTAATCTAAGTTTTTGTACCCTCGTGGTACAAGGGGAGGAGAGTGGATGGAATCCGTCCTCTGGTTTTTCGTTCTGTTAACGCAGAGAGAAATAAATTTACATTGATTAGATAGCTCTGAGCTTGACGTTATTTGACCCGCCATCTTGGATCCGCCATTTGAATTTTACCATTTTCTTAAAAACTCAAGAAATAACAGCATTTCTGCAATTTGATGAACAAAACTGAAAAAAAAANCTACATGATATTTGATGGTTATCATGGCAACGTCAAAAATGATGGACGCGCAATCGACATATCATAATTTCCGCAGGGAATGAAGGAACAGCTACTATAAGTGTCAGCCCCTTAGTGAAAATCGTCTTTTCAAACTTTGCGGGGCGGGGAGGCTTCCAATTATGGGATAGGTTTGACAAGCTTAATAAAAAAAAGCAACCTTGCAATTGCGAATAGGAACCATGTCTTATTTTATTAGTCTGCGTTCTCAAGAATATTAATTTAGAAAAAGATACGCAAATAACACTTAGACAGAATCTACCTTTTGTCTAACTTGTTCTGAAATTTCAATATAGATTTAGGTACAATGAAGATGTTTACTTACAATGACGAAAGCAATCCTTGGAGACATTGTTTCAAAACCTTAAATATCTTCTAAAAGAGAAACACGGAAAGAATAAAAAAGAAAGTTTATGAAGTTTTAATTTGGTCAGGAGAGAAAAAAGATTGGTGAACTGATAAGCAGAGTAACGTTCAAAAAATTCACTCGTAAGCTAGTCTATGCTACCCCACTGACAGTGTTGTGTTCTTTTTATAAGAGAAAGTAGATTGGAAATTCCTGGAACGTGGAGACATGTCCGCAATCTACACACACCTACCGACCATAGATTCACTTGATCCGACGAACGAACAACACCCCAGTCAGTTAGAATTTCTCAAGTTTATCAAGTATGCGCTAATTATTGTTATTTTTCAAGTGAAAGAAGATATACTTATTTCTTAAACTGCTCAAAAATAAAAGTTCATCCCAGAGTCTACAACACTCATAACAGTTTAGTACATACCTTTTTTTTCAACGTAGTAAGATCAGGTCAATGTTAAGAATGAACCGCAATGTCGTATCCACAGTATTTATGACTGTAATGAAAAAATTCCATCATTGCCACGTCGTGTTAGTTATGACCCTTCAGCAATGAAAGCTAAAAGCTTACCTGGTATATACCCTTAGGTATCAGGTGTCCCTGAAGACCTATGACTTTATGGTCTTAATGAAACAGTTTTGGTTGAAATCAATTTACGCCGCGCGGCAAGAGCGTATGCTTTCACTCAATTTCAAGATACTTACATGTATATCTCGTTTTAGACCATGACAGCCAAACCAGATGAACGGCGAAAAACTGCTTTACCCTACGCAAATAGAAATAACATAATTATCTGAATCAAAGTTAACTCTCAAACAATAAAACACCTTTTAGGTAACCGTTGTCCATGTGAAAATATTTTGTGTTTGCTTTAGACCGATCCGTCAAAAAACTGTTTTTATCATTTAATTAATTACAAAAGTCAGACATCTAAATGACCATGCTTTTACTCAATAACTGTTAATTTCCCAAAACTGAATATTTTAGTATAAACCGTTGCTACTTTAAATTTCTCCAGGCGATTCCCGCCATTTCCACTGCATCCATTATAAGAGCTTGTAAGGACGTTTTCACACATTCAGTGGCTTTGCTTTGCACCTTCAATAGGGGGTGATTTAACATTGGCTTGCAAACCAACCCAAGACCCGTAAATTTTCGCTGGACGTATAGTCCAATAATGGTCAATCACAGCTCGTGCAGTATCCCGACAGACAATTAATGATCAATCGATTCATAACACGTAGCTTCAAAATATCTGAAAAAAGACCTTTCGACCGAAACGGCGGCCATTTTGAGTTATTTTACTACTAAAGCGCAGTTGATTATTCTGACCAGCTGTGTGAGGTTTCCTTATTTGCGAAAATAAATCGGTTCCAAAAAAAAATTTCTTTAACTAATTAGTAACTAATTAACCTGTAAAGCACGTAGGAAGGGATAGAGCATGAAAGAAGTGTAGAGCGAAACACGGACGTAGTCGAGTGTTTCTCACTACTTCTTGAGTACTCTACCAGTTCCATGGCGTTGTTTTACGTCTAAAGTATACAATCTGCCTTCATAACAAAGGTGTCTTTTATCGAAGCATTTGCTAGGGTGAGAATTTGTTTGTTTTGATTACCGTTTTGTCGGCTAAACTTATTATTTTAGTACATTTTAAATACTTCTGTTGTTCTTTTTCTTAACAATGACTTCCATGCATCTATGTTTACAACGCGTTTGTCTGAGTCACAAAGAACGGTTATTTTGGGTCAAGTTTATCAAAATTTCGAAGCAAAAACTTTGTCAGCCAATCAGAGCGCGCGTTATAAGGCAACTTTATTATAAAACATTTTAAGCTTTAAGAACCTCTAAACAATACCAATCGTCCGTTAAAAAGGCTCTTAAAGCAGCGCATGGTAGGCCTCAGGTATCAGGTATCAGGTGTCCTGTGTTTGACTGAAATAATACCTTGTCTTACACTGAATTTTGAACAGACGTATTTATGAATAACATTGAAAAAGTTGTCACAAACTTGATATCGATACGACTCTCTGTTTTGTAATGGCGCTGTCCTCAAAATGTTATAAAATGCCGTAAAAGGGCGATTGAGATTTTTCGAGTTTATATTTGTTTTAAACTATCTAAAGGGGCAATTTTAAGAAGTAGGCCCGGAAGTATCGTTTACTAGTCTAGCAACTACAAATGAAATTCGATCTCAGTATAAAGAAAGTTCGGTTTAAAGTTCTTCCTCGACCCTTTACAGAACGGATGAGGGGACTTCTCAGGAACCTTCAATAACCTTGTCATGAGCCTCAAATTTGATGATCTCCATCCCAGCTGCTCGGGTCAAAGTCACCCAAAGCTTCCCACCTCCACGCGGCTGCTTCCAAACGACATACCCAAGACAGGCAAAAGACACAGCAATGGCAGAAGTAAGTATATTATGTATATTTACTTAATTTTAAGCTGGAAAACCGCAAAATCGACGCAGTCATAATAATAGACCCTATCAGGTGGTTTGCAACCATTCCCGAGAGATTCAAATAACAAAGACCCTGGTGGCCATGTTGGATGACCGCAGGAACAATAAAGCTTATTAGAATTCTGTTGTTAATGGTCATTCCACATGGCGGCGATTACGTCAGTTGCAAAATATCTATACGTGGCCTAATGATCATCAACTTTCACCCGGTAGCTAGTGTTGCGCAAGGACGATTTCCTACCGACCATTTGGGCTCCCCGTGCTCCAAACGCTTGGAGACCTTTGTGGTAGAAACAAATTTATTTTTAAAGTCATATTCAGGCGAAAAAAAACGTAATTACTCAGAATTTTAAGACATGTGATGCTTAAGGCGTACCATCTGCTGACTTGAGAGCTCCTCAGGGAGCAATTGTCATCGCTAGAAAAGTGTCCTTATATTAGAACTGGCTGGTTTTATTTTACCATATTCAGATTGAACTATTACTGGAGCTGAACAGGCGCTAACAAGGTAAGAATTGTCGACATTGCTATAGCTAATAATACCTGGGTTTTAGTAAATATTAGAAAAATAGAAAGTTGAATTGTTAACTGTTTGCTGTTGAGTTATACACATTAGAAAAGTAAAGCAGACTATACTTTAATCGAAAAAATCGCATTTTCTCACGGCTTTGTAAGATAAGAGACAGATGCTATTAGATATTTGAATGCTTCCAGTCGATCATTCCAGTTGATCACTCCATTCATTATTCTAAAAGAGCGTTTTATAATACTGTATACGATTTTTGAACCATGCCACAAAATCTTAGTCCAAATTATTTTACTTACACTTTTTTGCAACATTAAGCGAGAGCTATGCTTATTTGTGAAATCGAGTACGAAACGCGGCAGTTTTCCGTTACATATGCCCTGCGTTTATTAAGCGTTAAATAAGAAGCAGGGATGAAATGAAGCGCATCTATTGCATGGTAAAATTTCCGGCTGCGATATAGCAGTTAATGTAATGCCTTCAGTCAATCAGGCGAATGTGATTTTGCATCACATTGTGGAATATTAACTTAAGACATTGCCACTAGGATCGCTCAGTTATATTCAGCGAAGCGAAGGTTTGGTACTGGGCAACGAGTTCTACATTTGGGTAAAAACTAATCGATTCACGGATATTTTAAGTAAACTACATTCGCTTCTTTAGGCAACAGAGGCATGAGGGCGCCTAAAAGTTGTCCTTAATTGCCCTACTACTTATTTGTAAGCTTTATTAAAATGATGATAAACATGCTTTTGCTAAGTCGTGTTGCTTCCATATTTACTGATAACACAATGGTAACTTTATTTTCAGTGTATGTCAGGAGACTAAAGTGTTACGATGGCTCTGAAATTTTCTTTGATCGTGGTAAGAAAGAATCGTATTGTCGGACTCCATTTGATTTTGACAATAATCTTCATACAGTTATATAGTCATCTTCGCACTGATCATGAGCTCGTTTTCACTCTTTTTCCCTCACTCAATTCACTACCGCACTGATTCTCGTGACAGGAGCAATTATGTTTAGTTATGGTCTTCCATACTTCCTCTTGCATTTTTGTCTTGCGTTGCAGGCGAAGTGTCTCCTCTGTGGCTTTCTCGCTGTCATTCCACCGGTGTACAGCATCAACTGCTATCGTAAGACAGTTGAAAACGACCATGTTTTTGTTGACGATGGAGTGGTGGAATGTAACGACCCACGTGATGACAAATGCGGGACTCTTCACTTCACAGTAGACTCTTCCATCGCCGTAGAGATACGGAACTGCACTAAGTCGGCCCGCGACTGCGAAGAAGACGTGGTTTGTGGGAGGGTCAGAGAATACGTTGAAGCTCTTGCCGGCAGCCTTACTTCATGCTCGCCGATGTGCTGTGATACTGATAACTGTAACGCGCCAGGTAGGTGGGAATAGGGCATGATGATAGCAACCGCCTTGCATACGGAGGTTGTACCCACAGTACGGGCAGCAGTCAAAACCGAACTGCCCTACCAAAACGACGCGATAATAGTCTTTTCCTTCGCAGCTGACAAACATAAAGGCAATGCTGATGTTACTTTGGACTCTTCTAAAAGTTCTCTTGAGAATTCTTTGATGAGGAACTACATATTTTGTTCGGAACAACACAACTATTATCCAACCTGGCTTCAGTCTACGACATTGGCTATTCAAATTAATATTTTTTCACTTTTCACAATCTGACGTGTCATCATCATTTTATTTCTTGATAAAATCTACATTTTACAGTTGGACTGGCCCGCGAATAGCTATGCTATTATGTAGCCAGATAACCGCTGATCAAAAAGCAATAGGCCTGAAGATCTTCGACGACAACCGAGGTGGACACTAGCTAGAGCATGCAACTTCTACGGCAAGTGCTTCTCAATCCTTCTTCGTTACTATACTTCGTTACAATACTTTACTTTTACCAATGACCAGGTGCCAAGAAGAGTACGCTGATGAAACTGCAAGGAAAAAGGGAAGGGGGTAAAGATGCTAACAACATGACGGGGAAGCTGGCTAAACTGATTTCTAGTCGCATCTAAAATAACCTGTGAGTAGAACTCCAATAATACATTAGGCAACTTATATTCATTGAATCATTCGAGGCTTAACTCTTTTTCTTAGTCTTTTACGCTTAGAAACTTCCCTGGCCACATTAATATTGTCAATTGGTCAAAAATCCTGTACGTTATTCTACAAAAACGATTGAAGGTGGATCGTAAACAAATTTATTATTGTGGAAGGAAATGTCTATCAGGTGAAGGACACAAAGTTTCCGATAAATGTAGGTTTCTCTGACACGTTTAGTTGCTCATTTATTTATTCATTTATTTATTCATTTATTTATTCATTTATTTATTCATTTATTTATTAATTTATTTATTTTATGGTTTTCTCTGAGAAGGGGGAAGTCGTATATAACGCAAATCGAAAACTAATGCTTTGTATTTAATTGGTAAAGCATT